AACCGGCGGGGCCGTGCAGAGCTTCGCAAGCCGACCGCCGTTGGGCGTGAGCTTCGTGTTCGGGCTGAAATTGGTAACCCCCTTCTCTGCTCCTTGCTGCAGATGGAGCTGGAAGCGCTGCGCTCTATCTACGAGGGAGACCTGTGCTTCAGGGAGCTTAGCCCGGTTTCCTTCCAGTACAGGGTGAGGCAAGGTGGAGGTCTGAGAGTTGCTGCAGCACAGGCTTCGCCTTGAAGTTACTCTGCTGTCTTGTAGTTGACGTACCAGGGGTTTTCTAAAACAAATGGGAATTGGATGTGCAGTAAAGGGTAGATCCGTAGGCCGTTGTTTCAGGGTCCTTGGTATGATGATGTTTGATATAGCACAATGCTTCACGTTTAGGAACCTTCTCCCAGTGTGGGTTTATTATCCCTTAGCTAGGCATCCTACTTAATGTGTCCATGTACTGCACAGCTATAACTGTCAAACTGGCTGAAGGAGCCAGCATACTGAGCTATACTTAAACTGGCTGGTCAGAAATGTCACTTATAGAGTCTTCTATATGTAAAGCTCTGAAACTTCCTCGTTGCTCAGTTGCAAGGTTCTTGTCTCTTGTCCATGCAGTCTCTTGTCCAATGTAGTTGACATGCCTCATCTACCTGCTAAAGAGAAAATCCACAAAATGCTTTGGGCGTGTGCACTGGTACGATCTGCTCAGGAGGGACATACAGGGAGTGCAGAGCTTGAGATAGGCAGTTAGATTCTGGCATGAAATTCTTGCCACTTTTCTCAAATTTAAACACCCGGAAGTTCTAGGCATGGACTGAGGCAGATCTTTGGACAGGGAGAGAACTTTAGTGATGAAAACTTAGGCACCCATGAGATAGAAGAGAGACTTCTGAAAATGCCATATGCCTGTACTGGGGAGGAGGCATCTGAAATCACCTTTTTGTGACTTCTCAAGTAATTTCAGAATAACATCACTAATTGTAATGAGATATAGGTCAATTTAATTAATAGCACTTGTATCCCATCCATGTAAGTGCAGCCTTCCTTCATGGATAGGACCATTCTTAGTAAAATTTATTTCCTCAAAGAGTAAATGTGACATGCCTACAAGTCTACAGTATATCATGCTACATTTTACTAGCTTTGGTCATTGCTAATTTTTCTTAGACAAAAAATAATGGTCAAAAGTTAGGAGAACTCAATTTAAATACTGTAAAACTTAGTTCAGGCAAAGGCAATAATACATCGTTCCCATGAAGAAGAATTTGTATTACAGGAAGACATAACATAAGTAAGTGCATGAGAAGGTAAGGTAGACAGAATTCGTATGCCATTTTTCTAAGCCTCATGTCTCACATGTGTCTCACGTACAGAACACAGCTGCTCTATAATCAGTGTGCTATGAAATTGAGATTAAAGAAAGATTTTTCAAATACTGAGAAAATGTAGCAGCAGCATTTAAAGTAAGGCTACCCAGTTTTTAGGTTGTGCTGACAAGAAGGAGCACGGTCTCGCAGCTTTTCTGTATGGATTTGCTCAGTATGCAAACTGCTTTCCTGAGAGAACTGTAAACCTTACTGTCACTTCTCTTCTTGGTAGCAGTGGGAAATGGACTGCAACACTGTATATGATTTCTTGAAAAATGTTGCAGATTCTTGGTTTAAAGTCTTATTTATTTCACTGCTAAAACAGATGCTTCTGAATATCAGTGTCATGGATTGACCCTGGCTGGATGCCAGGTGCCCACCAAAGCCGCCCTGTCACTTCCCTCCTCAGCCGGACAGGGGAGAGAAAATATAATGAAAGGCTCGTGGGTCAAGATAAGCACAGGGAGATCACTTGGCAGTTACTATCATGGGCAAAACAATCTCGACTTGGGGAAAAACCCCTCAATTTTTTACCAATCAAATCAGAGAAGGGTCATGAGAAATAACATCAGATCTTAAAAACACCTTCCCCCCACCCCTCCCTTCTTCTGAGGCTTAACTTTGTTCCAAATTTCTCTACCTCCTCCCCCCGAGCAGCTCAGGGGGATGGGGAATGGGGTTTACAGTCACTTTTATCGCACGTTGTTTCTGCCACTCCTTCCTCCTCTGGGGGAGGACTCCTCACACTCTTCCCCTATTCCCCTACTCCAGCGTGGGGTCTCTCTCACAGGAGACAGTCCTCCATGAACTTCTCCAACGTGAGTCCTTCCCATGGCCTACAGTTCTTCACAAACTGCTCGAGCGTGGGTCCCTCCCATGGGGTGCAGCCCTTCAGGAACAGACTGTTCCAGGCTGGGTCTCCCACAGTTTCACAAGTCCTGCCAGCAAACCTGCTCCAGCCTGGGCTCCTCTGTCTCCACGGGTCTACAGGTCCTGCCAGGAGCCTGCTCCAGTGTGACCTTCCCACGGAGTCACAGACTCCTTTGGGCATCCATCTACTCCGATGTGGGGTCCTCCGCGGGGTGTAGGCAGATATCTGCTCCACTGTGGACCTCCATGGGCTGCAGGGGCTCAGCCTGCCTCACCATGGTCTTCACCACAGGCTGCAGGGGAATCGCTGCTCTGCTGCCTGGAGCATCTCCTCCCGCTCCTTCACTAACCTTGGTGTCTGCAGGGTTGCTTGTCTCTCACATTCTCACTCCTCTCTCCGGCTGAAGTTGCCATTGTACAGTAACTTTTTCTCTTTCTTAAATACATTGTCCCAGAGGCCATTGCTGATGGACTCGGCCTTGGCCAGCGGCGGGGCTGTCTTGGGGCCGTCTGGCATTGGCTGTATTGGACATAGAGGAAACTTCTAGCACCTTCTCACAGAAGCCGCCCCTGTAGCCCCCCCATCTACCAAAACCTTGCCATGCAAACCAAATACAGTCAGTTAGTCCATGCTGCCAAAACAGACACTGTAAATAAAAACACCAACTTTTTTCTTTTTTTTTTTTTAAATTTTGAAGTACAGCAGCCTTCCCTTGATTAGGACTTTTTTTCTGGCTACACTTCATTCCACGTAATTTGAGGAAGCCAGGTTTTGACTATTCTATTATGAGGGAAACAAGGAAGTATTTCCAGGTGGTTTTAGAATATGGATTTAACCAACTTTGTTGCACTACTCTTCCAAATCCTCGTGTGAAACAGTTATTGCTATTTGTATAGTATGCCTTTGGCAGCACCTTTACTGGTTTTAAATTTAAAAAAAAAAAAAAATCTTCATTTCAATACTGTCTTGTGGTTTGTTTTCATATTGCTCTGAGCTTGGATGCGTGGGGGGGAAAAAAGAAGGCTTCATCTTTTCTGTTCTCATAGATGATTGTATCATATTTGTCTTGCAGGTGCTACAAAGAAGCATTCAAAACCAAGCAATTAAAAAAAAACATAAAGAGAGCTTTGAATGTTTCTGTTGCTTTTCCTAGGATGAAAACTGCAGAGTAGAAGTTAATATTGATGTCAAATTTAATACTTTTTCTAGATAATGGTTTTATTTTCTAACTGATAACTTTATGAAAATAATTGTTATCTTAAGGAATTTGTATATCCTTAAAGAAGTGAAAGACTTGCGTATTGTCATTGCAGTCCTTAATAAGTGACTGGAAACTGTTGATTTATAAAGTTTTTCTTTTCACTTCAGATAGGTGAAAGTGGAGATCCCAAAGCTTTTCTGATAGAAGTTTCTTGGCCAGAAACATATCCACAAACAGCACCAGTCATATCGATGGATGCTTTCTTCAACAACACAATGTAAATATTTATGACAGCTTCACTTCCTAGCCTTGTATATGGGGGCTTTTTGATTGACAAGCTTTTCTTCATCTGTCTAGATTATAGTTGAGTTTTATGATTTCTTTTAGATCTTCAGCTATTAAACAAAGTATATTGGATAAGTTAATGGTAGAAGTTGAAGCGAATCTTGGAACTGCTATGACATACACACTTTTTGAATATGCCAAAGATAATAAAGAGGTGTTCATGGAAAATCAGCCTGTTAACACTGTGGTAAGTAGATAAATTCAGATTTTAATCTCTTGCTTTTAAAATTGAAAAAAAAAATATATTACAACTCTAAATACTTCATAGCCCTGTCTTTAAGTTGTTCATCAGTGTATTGGGTATACACGTGTTAGTGGTTAAACAGTGACACACGGAGCATGGTGCCACAGTGCTTAGGGGTTGTAATTGTTATATTTCATTGTTATTTTGCTGTTATACCAAAATGTTTGTGGGCTGCAGTTTTGTCCCACAGAGTAACATAAAAATGGAGATTTGGAGCAGAAGCAAAACTAAAGAGAGCTGAAGTGGAGATTAAAGGCGTCTGTTGGGGGTGGGTGGGTGTGGAAAATTAGTGTAACCTTCCTGGGATGCCATGGATTGCATAAGTGCACCTCCAGGGTCTTGAATGAGTCAGGCTGGGGCTATTTGTGGCTTCTGTGTTGTGTGAGGACATTATTGGCCATTGTGGTGCCACAGATTTGCTTCAGGGAAGAAGGAATGGTTTCCATGTTTGGGAAGTCTGAATCCCTTCAGACTAAATCACACTCCATGATTAAATTTAAAAAGTGTAAGAGGTGCCTTTGCAGTTCTGAAAGGGAATAAATCCAGTCCCCAACATGTGTTTTTTAAAACTTCAGTCATGATTATATGTTGATTAAAAGCTGCAGACTGCTGACAGCATTCCTTCTTTCTGACAGTCAAGATATTTCAGTATGTCAGGTTCTGTAATCAACACAGAGGTATCTGTGGAACTGATATGCAAAATATTGACAACCATTTTTATCCTTCTCAGACTTCAGTAAGCAATAGTGTTGCAATTGGGACTCCTGATCTGCCAGCAAGTAAGAAAAAAGATAAAAGAGAGCAGTTATCCAAAACCCAGAAACGAAAACTAGCCGATAAAACAGGTTTGTTCACTATAATGTTGTTTTGTTTGAGCAGTATGAGAATCCAGATTTTATAGCAGTGACAACTTGCTAGAGTCAGAATCAGTAGTCATTTGCATAGAAGATTAACTACTTTAAGTCTGTGGCCTCTGTTTTGCTTGTTTTGGATGAATTATTCTTGCCTGAGATGTTCATTCTGGTCAAAGCAACTTTCTACAGAGTATGGATTTCAAGATGTCTTTGGTTTTGTTTTATTTTTTTTATTTCGATTTGTGACAAAAGTAAAATTTAAAAAAAAATTCTTGTGGGAGGAGAGCATTTGGGACTTCTAAAAATTCACTTTCAACAAAAGATGTGGTTTATTGATGGGCCTTTGTAAATAAATTGCATTATTAAAAATGTGATTTCGAAATGAAAGTATTTGTTTTGGAACCCAAAATAAAACATTTAATTTTTAGTTTGTGCCTTCAAGGTAGAGGTGTTTCTGCAGATACTTTATGCTTTCAATGAAATTATACGTTTTTGTTTGAAAAACGTTCAATATTTCAACTAATCCCACTGATGACTTTTATGTGTTCAATCTTAATTTTTAATAATGATCTGGATAATATTATCCTATTGCAACAATAAGTTGTACGCTGTGATAGCATATATTTTACGTAACCTGATGTATAATTGGCAGATTAAATGTTGACCATATAAAGGAAAAGCTGCGTAAAATTTTGTTCTTTGACAGAATGCATCATTGCTGGTCAGCCCAGCTCATGCTGGAGTTGCCTTCTAAATTAAATGTCAGAGGAACTGAAGTGGTTTTATTTAAGCAGAATTACTTTGAAGAACAAGATGTGTTTAAGACATTTATATCTATTTTTGTCCTCATGGCTTTGTAGTGGAGAAATTAAGGTTTTTGGATCTTTAGAATTTTGTGGTTTGATTTTAAAGAAAGATAAAGATTCCCCTTAGCTTGTGTGTTGAAAATAAAACCTTATTCTGCAGATAACAAAGGGGAGCTGCCACGAGGATGGAACTGGGTGGACGTAATTAAGGTAACATGAATGCATTATGTACAGTATTATGAAAATATTACATATGTACATTGAAAATAATTTGTACTTACATCTGAAGGAAACTAATCAAATTTTTTTCTTGCTTTTCTTCCTAACTTCATTTGGATTTGACTGTGGTGTCTGATTAATTTCTGTATGTGTCCAGCATGTAAGTATTTTGAAGTTATCTTTTTTTTGACGTTACAAAGATTTGCAAGAAATAGTAAGAACTGTTGCACATTTTGTATTCTAATTTACATATTTCTTAAATGCTTTAAAATGCTTAGTCCTTCTGAGTATTGGAGTCAGAAGGACTTTGATTCCTTTTTGAGCTTTGTTGGTTTAGTATTTCTTTTTTATTTATTGAGCAATTAGATTTTAATTTTGTGATGAAAGAGCTTTGCTAGCCAAATGCACTGAAAATATTTTGTCTTCATACGGCAACAAGATGTAAAATAAAGTTAACCTGCCAGGTTCTGGAGGGCAATGGATAAGTAAGCAGAAAAAGGGAGCTCTTTCAAGTGGGAGCACCTTGCTGCCTCCTATAAGCCTGAGCATTATCTGCTGCAACTCCTCCAGCAAATAATTGTTTTCTACTTGCTCCCTCAGCATTGATTTCTTCCACTCTCCTGTCTTTGCTGCTTCAGTGTAGCTGATTTCACTGTAGGAAAACAGTGTAGCTCCTTGACAATTTTGAAAGCAAACTATTTTATTTTACACATCTGTAAGTAATTCTTGATGTAAGACCTAACACCAGTTCCGATTGTTAAATAAGAGCAAGTGAATGATCAATGGTGATTTTGGGCAGAGTCCTTCTGAGTTTGTCATGGCTATTTGAAGTAGATGTCTTGGATTCCAGACAGATTTCGCAACAGATGCACTACATTTAATTATTATAACCTTAGCATTAAAAAGTGAGAAGTAGTAAGCTAATGTCTCTGTATTGTGTGAATTTCTATATGGGAATTCTCTCAGAGATGTGTGGAGATGCTTTTTCCATTACTTGATCTTTTTTATTTTGGAGAGCTGGTAACGGAGTCTTCAAATTAAATAGAAACAGTACCCTGAGGTTTTTCTGGGGTTTTGTGGTGGTGCTTTTTTGAAATCAACTTTCACATTCAGGAAGTAAGCTCATTTGGTGTTTAAGCTTAAGAAATAATTTTTGATGCTTTTCAGTCTCTTGGTACAGTAGCACAATCAGTCTGTATTATTAATTAAATATGCATGTGTTCTATGTAAGATGGAGATAATTTTGCTCTTGTTTCCTAATAAATGGAATGGCAGTCTAAACTTTGAATACTTTCTTTTTGTGTCTCTTTTATAGTTAAGCAAAACTGGTTCTAAAGATGATGAATAAAGGACTTTGGTACAAGGAATCTCCACCTTTTAATACAGTGCAATTTTGGGTCACCATCTTTCTCTTAATGACTTTCATATTTGTTGAAGTAAACTTTTATAAAGCTCAATTTCCTAACTTGCAAACCTAGTCACACAAGTTTATCTAGAGACTATGTGGTCTTCTTTGGAAAAAAAACAAAACAAACTTGCCTTAAATGAAGGTTAGAATGTGACAGAGGATATAGAGAGCCAATGTGGTGAAGTGAATAGTGCTATATGCAGTGTTTATTAATTTATATTTTACTCTGTAGTAAAATCCTGTTATAGTGAGCCAAATGATACTGTAAACATTTCCTGATGTTCTTATTCTAATTGAAGAAAAAAGCACTATAACAGTGATTGGTCACTTGACAGCATAATTCATCAAAATAAATTATTCCATGGAAACAAGACCTTTGTCATTTGTTTATCTAATATGTGTGTAGAAGGAGAACATAAAAATTGCAATACAGACTAGAGCTTGTGGTCCCGTTTTCTCTAGTTACTGGCTGAAATAGTAAATACTAGCAAAAGCAAGGCCAAATATTCTAGTCTGCTCAAAAATCATTGGTTATATCAGGGGTATGTCGTCTTTATTCTCTGCAATACCCATCTGTTAGTCTTTCTCCAGTGTGCATCTTTACGGATGGTTGGATGTCTGAGGGGAGGGAAAAGTGCTTTCTTGCATGTGTCTCAGTGAGTGTTGGGATTTTGTAGCTCTTTCGCTGGAGAAATGGGCATTCCTTGGAGGAGTTTGCTGACTGTGTGGTGGGACAGTGGAAGTCAGCACTCTGCCAAATATATTGGGAGAACTCTTTTTTTTTTTTTTTTCTTTTTTTTTTTTCCCCCTAATCTGCTCTCTTGTATCAGAAAGAGAAGTCATCTTTGCTATATGAGTGGTTACTGAATACAAGATGCCTTAATGTCCTTTATTATTTTTGTTTGTTTTGAGATGAACTTTAATAAATGCTTATTTATCTGCTGTGGTATGTGTTTATTTTTATAAATTTGTGTATGGTCTACTGCACTTGTAGGGCCAAGTTTGAACTTGCGAAGGATTGTCTTTTACAAAGAAAGTATTTTTAAAGATTGGTGGAAGAATTGTACCTACCCTCTTTCAGTATATGTTCACGTGTTCTTCAGGGTAGCCGTGTTTGTTACTGATGTGAGGGTCAGTCATCCCACTGAGAGTCACAGGAGAATACCCAGTACATTCAGTACATGCAGGAAGTGCAGTGTCTCTTTGAAAAAGCGTGCTGCACACGGTAGGTCCAGCCTTTGGTGAGAGGGATGTTAGAGGCGCAGGCTGGATGCTCTGATCAGTGATGCTGAGAGCCTTTGTAACCAATAGAGGATCATCTACATGACTGTCATATTAGGACTTCAGTTGGTGGAGTGGAAGTGTTTATGCTACTGTCTGTGTCAAGAGAGCTTATATGCAACATACATTAATATAGTTCTCTTAAATTCTCTTAATTATTTCTGTTTTACCAAAAGAAGATACACTAAATATGTTGCAAAATTACTGCTTGTCTTTAAATGAAATGTTGTGGCTGCAAGTGAAGGAAAAAAAAAGAATTTGTTCTGTGGTTTTCACTCTTCAGAAGAGACTGTTAAGAGATCTGAAAGAAATACAGTCTGTACTGCTGTCATCCAGCAAGAAGCTGTACTTTTTACTGAAACACTTGAGTTATAATTGGTAAATGTACGTGCTTCCTCAGTAAGGAAAATACTAGTATTTCTTAAAGAATTCTTAATTACAGAAAGTTATGATTTCTCTTTGAACTCAACTCACATTAAGTAAAAGCTGCTAGAGTACACAAGGGAGGACTTTTCCCAAATGGTGCAATCTTGCTTTGAAATAAACTGGAGGCTCACGGCTGCAATCTGAGCAAGAGTGGCTGGCAGGGAGTAACACTGCGGGGAGAAGTTGCTCAGTAGTACATGGAGAGCCTGTAACAGGGAAGGGCATTTAGCTTTAGTCTCTGACAGCATCAGAATGGGCAGGACTTTCTCTATTCAGAACATCCAAGGGGAATTGACTTGTCTTCACTGGTATCCTTGGTGTATAAATCAAGTTGCCATGACAATTTATCTGAATAGATTAGTTAGGGAGGGTAGGGGAAGGACAAATAAGAACCACATCTCTTGCTTTTATAATGTCCCTGTGTGGAACGGCAAACATGTTAACCTTGTGAAATGCCTGATTTTTTTCAGCTCCTAATCTGCCTATAAATGACACACTGTTGTGAACATATCCAAGCAATCTCCCCTGGTTCTGTTAGTAAATGTGTGTGTTTGGAAATCTACTTTCATGGGAAATATTTTGCATTGGGAATTTTTGTATTGGTTCTTTGTTTCTGTGTAAATTTTGAAAGGTAATTTGTGCTGTTAAACCATTTTTTCAGATGATGTGATGGTTGTGGAACAGGGTCATCTAGGTACTTGATATTATGGAGAGGCCTGAGCACTGACAGCTGAGGGGAGGGAAAATGTAATCATTCTTACCAAGAAAGGCACAACTGTAAAGAGAGCTCTTGACTGCTGAGGGAATTCTATACACTGTTGAAAAATGCACCACCACCACCTTTTTTTAAGCAAAAACCTACTGATGGTGGAAAAATGGTGGTTTAGGTTTTATTTCAGTAGGGCAAGAGTCCCTTGATTGTAGGGCTACACCACCTATTTAAATTCATGGGTTTTGCAGTAGAGCTTTTGTTGGCCTGAGAAGACAAGTGTCAATACTAGTAACAGTAAAGTAAAAGTAGCAAGTGTCCAAAATACAGGATGATTGAAAAGGAATTAAAACTTTCCATACTGCATGGATACTAATTGCCTTATGGAAGCATTAGTTGAAAGGGCTTTTAAAAAAAGTGCTTTTTATCTATAGTGTTGTTGCAGTAACCACTTTGAAATCCCATCTGATCAAGCATAGATTACTTTTTTCCCTTTTTCAAATTTGTCTCTGACAATCGTTCCTTGGAACAAATTTGATGCAAGAAAAATGAGGGGCAATACCAATGCGTAAATGAAGTTTAGGTTTTTTAACTGAACTTTAACTTAAAATATTTCTTCTCTTCAGTCTTTTAGTATATATTTGAATTGATTAATATGCCTAATGCCTTTGAAAATTAATTCATTTTAAGCTATGCATTTTTCTTTCAAAACTTTTCCCAGCCGGCTATCATTTTGTGGTTTGTTTCTCTTTCTCTTCCCCCCACTTCTTTTTTTTCCCCTCTGCCAGTCCTTATGGTGCCCTGGAGTACATCGCTAGGCAGTGCACTTTCCAGCCTCAACTTACAGGAGCAATTAGCATAGGATCTGTGCAGGTTTTGCTACACAATGATACGGTATCTCTGAAACACAGTGACCTCTTCTGAAAAATCTGTCCAGCTCTTTCTGTTGTTGATACAGGTATTTGAATAATAATAATAATAACAAAAAAAAAAGTATGGCAGGGGCAGAGGAACTGTCACTATTGCATTGGTATTTTTTACTTTTATTTCAGATGAAACTTCAAAGAAGTTTTTAGTTATATTTGCATGATGTTAAATACGAGTTCATCCCGTGCTGTTAGTACCAAGACCAAAGATGCTCCATTGCACTGTCATTTATCGAATCCCAGGGATAATGCAGACTGCCTTGCAGTAGGTTGGGTGGAGGGGTGTCAGCTGTGATTAATCAGCAGTGTGTACCTCGCATACGCTGCTCACCCCCTTGGTCACCCTGGCACAGCTGACACTGAAATCAAGGCTGCTAATGTCTGCAGTACAGCTGCAGCTGGTTGTACGTGGGGTGGATAGATAAAGCCTGCCCAACTGATGAGCAAATAGATTTTGGTGAGTAAAAGAACAGTAGGAAAAAAGCCAGCATTTCTTCATATAGGGCCTTTGGTAGAAGTGTAAACGTAGGGGGACTATACACCTTTCATCTGAGGCAATTCAAGTGGTTTTGGGTTATACTGTGAACTTTGTGCTTCGATTGAATCATTGAACTGGTCTGAACCAGAAATAGTTCCCCTTTGGAAATTGTTTCCTTCAACTATGTTTTGTGGCTTGTAGTACAGCGCTCTAAGCGCTTGTATTTAATAGCAGAACGAAGGGTGAAGGAAACATTCATTCGACAGATAAAATACCAGAAGTGTGAGAATTCTAGGTGGATGGGAGGAGGAAGTGGAGGGGGAAAAACATCCTCGTGTGCAAAACTAGAAGAGCATAGGGGATAAAGCTTCATTGCTGCAGGACAATATAACAAAAGAAAAGCTAAGTTTATGGTTGCAGAGCTATAAATTCTGGCATGAGGTTGGGTTATGGTAAAAGACAAGAGGAATGTAGATTTTCTTTCTGTCACTGTCACCTGTTCTTTCACCAAGATTTGGCTTCATCTCAGAATGGGGCTGCTCCATAGTCATGAGAAGAATTTCTGTTTGACTGTTATGTTTCCTGTTACTTTCATTCTGAGCCCATGGAAGCAACCTCTGAAAGTCTGGTGTACTCTTAGAAACAAGTTATGACAAAACATATTGACTCAACACTGGAAAATCATGTTAGAATATTTGATATGGATGAAAGAAAGAATTAACTGTTTCTCTTCTCCCTCCTTCAGAGCAAAGTGAGGAGTGACTCCAAACAGCTGAATTACCCAAGATGTGTGAGAATCTATATCCAGACACCAGTGTCTTATGTCTGACTGAAAGTTTGTCCGTCTCCTTTAAAGTTTTACACAACTATCCCATGCTACTGTGTTTGAGCATTCATGGTTGTGGTTCCTACAGTAATATGTGGTTTAAGTATTCATGTTTACAATAAGGCAGAAATCTGAAAACTCTTACTGTGGCTGCTTACTGCAAGTTGCTTATGTTATGAGATGGGACAAGGTCACAGCAATGAGGGAGAAAGTCGAAGTATAATTGCACAGCCTTAGTGGAGAGTAATGGTGTTATGTGGTTGTCTCTGAGGGCATAATTTCTTTTGCAGTATCTCTGTTATTGGTGATGATCAGTGAAAGGGAAAAGTTAGTCTAGGATGAATTTGGAAGATATTCAAGAAAAGATAATCTTTTCCTTCTCAAACAATTACCTGTTATAGTGTCACTGAGAGGTGATACATAGTCTCTCTTCAGAGCAGGATCTTCCTTTAAATCAAGTAAATGTCTCTGTCAGTAATGTGTTTTATGATTTCCTGCAGGAAAAACAAACATGAAGAAAGCATTGCTTTCTAAAGAGCTGCTGTCTCCACTGTAGGGAGCCATTGCATCTCTCTTTATAGGGAAAACTATGGTTCAATTGATCTTGAAGAGAGAGAGAGTTTATAATAGTACAGGGAAAATGTAGCAGCCCATTGATAAAAGTACATAGCCTCTATAAATGGCTAGAAAATTTGCACAGCATTATCAGTTTTATATTTGTCTCTAAAGATCAGCACTAG